GGGGGGGGGGGGCCCAGGTGGCGAGGTCGGGCAGTGGGTCAAAGCTCTCGTCTATGACCAAGGATCGCCCGTGGCCAGCAGCCACAGGCGATCCCTAACGTCAAGCGTCAAGCGTCAGGCCATCGCAGTGGGGATACGCGAAGCGTCAATAATTTCACCACAAGCCGAACAATTCGCCACCTTCTTGAAATCTCCCAAAAACATGCCACGGCGTGCCTTGCCTCCGTCCTTACCTTTTCCTTTGCTGAATCTTGGCTGGTAGCCCTTGCCGGTCCGACCCTGCCGTTGGTGCCTTCCATCTTATAGTAGCCTCGAGCTCGATTTGCCTGATTCAATCTATCGTGCGCCTGTTCGAACGTCACATGTGCCGCGTGAGTCTCTCTGGCCCCGGCCTCAGGCAGCTGCTCGTCCCAGAAGTTATCGCCGCGCTCGTCCTCCCAGCCATTTTCGCGCGCGTCCTCGTAGTAATCTGGGTCCGTCGCCTGCCAATCGTCGTGCTCATGCTGGAAGTCGGGCTCGGCAGTCTCCGTCTCATACAGATCCTGGCTCGCGACGTGCGCACTACATGGATACGTGTACTTGCGATCGCCTTGATACTTCTTGCGTGGCACCAGCGGCATCGGGAAACAAAAACCGCGGCCTGCTCCTTCAACGACTTCCACTTGAATGTCGAACCTGCTGCCATCAACAATGTAGCCTGCGTCCTAACTTCCAACTGCGAACTCTTCATGCACTGTCTGATGATAATCGGATCCGGTATGTCCAGATCGACTGATTCAGTCTGGAACACCGCCTCGTCCACTCTAGTCGCGAGTTGCAATAGCGTCTCGCCAGGCTTCAGGTGTTCCATATGAAAGAAATCGTTCATTGCAGCTCCGATCTTCACCGTCGGGCGTTGATCGAAGGCCAACCCGTCGGGTTCTCGTCGTCCACATGAACGAAAACCTTGTCCTTGAACGCTGCATTTTTTAACATATTCAGCACCCACTCTCTTTTCAAGCTCGCTGGCCGGCGACCTTATGCCACAGAAAAGTGTCGTCTCAAGCTCGCGGGCAGGCAGTAGAGCTAACTACACCTACGACTACCAGAGAATACGAAAACACTATCGGCCACGTGGCCAGGACAGCGAAAGGGCCACCCGTGACAATTATTGCCCGGGCGCTGGGGCGGAAATATTACTTAAGATCGTTTTTTTTTCAGCCATCAGACGTAAGGAGTGAGGGGAAGAGGAAGAGGAGGAGGAGGCGGGGAGAGGAGAGGAGCAGGGAGAGGAAGCGGGGGAGGGCAGCCCCGACCCCGCTAGGGGACGGGCAAAGGACCCCAAGCGAAGCCTCGGATCCACCTGCAAAAAAAAGGCGGGGGAGGGAACAGGGGGGGAGAGACAGGAGAGGGGAGGAGGAAACAAACGCAAGAAACAGAAATGCATCCGGCCCCGGCCGACGACACCCAACTGTGATTATGTTCCCTGGGGGCAGAATCAGCCGCAGAACATAACGCCGCATTGCACTGAGTAGCACGACCGCCCCAGGAGTCGCAGAAACAGACACGCAGCACGCGTGCGAAGGAGGGAGGAAGCAGACGAGAGAGCGCAGGAGCAAAACTACACTGATACGAAATGCCCCGAATTCGTATCACAGCGAAGCGGGCAGGCTGCCCATAAAAACACAGGCAAGTAGATATATGTAGCGAAGGCGCGCCAAAAAACGACCGAGCAGCAGAGGAGCGATAATGAAAACACAAAAGGAGCGCGACTGAAACGATGAAAGCTACCGGATGGTTTCGCGGGGCCTCTTGAAAGCAATTTTGACGATATGCTGCTGGGCGCGGGCGTGGCCAGAGACCGCGTCGCGGATGTAGCCGCGGAGCGCGTCGGCCCCATCGGCGGCCCGGAGGCCGTGTCTGATAGCGCTGTGCACCTTATACAACGCAAAAACACCGATCGCCCGGAGCGCAGCCGCATTGGACCTGGCGCTGCCATCCCGGCAATGTGCTGGGAGAGAGGGCTCGTGGGGGCGAACGCCCAAGAAGTCGCTGAGACACTCTTCCGCGGGGGGCCGGCTGAGACCGAGGCGTTGGCGACACAGGGTATGGAACGTGGCGCAAAAGGCGTCATGCTGTAAGCTGTCTTCCCCGCGGGGGCAGCCGAGGAGGCAGCCACCTGCCCTGCCGAAGCGGCGGGCTGTAATCCAGCCGTTCCAAGCAGTACGAATTTGGCACGCCTGGAACCGGGGGGGGGAGGAGGGGGGAGGAGAGAGCGAGGGTGTTGAGCCACCGCGCTGGGCGGCGGCCCGGTAAGACATTGAGTTGCCACTTGTCAAAGCGCTTCCTGATGTGAGTGGCCGCGGAGGGCTTGGAGACAGCGTTGAAAACACGAGTGGCCTTAGCTTGCCACCCGCTCCGCTCCTGAGAGGAGGGACTCGCATGATCTAACAAAGAGGGCACCGCTTGCACTTGCCGCTCGGCTGATGTCAGCTCAGTGGTGGCGTCGCGGAGCGAGAACAAAAAGTTCTGATCGATATAGTGCCGGAGCTGCGCGACCCTGGCATAATTCACGACATCGCAGCTCGCCCGGGAGAGCTGGCGAGCGCGGTCTTGTATCCGTAGCCCTCCGTGCGCCGCATTCTCGAACCGGGCGACCCTGGCCCTCGCCACCCGAACGGCGGACTGGACATCGGGGAAGGCCTTCGGGAAACCCAGCGTTTTCAAGTCTTTGAGTGCCTCCACGGAGAACCACTCCTTGGGGCCGCGGAAAAGCACGCGGCACGCCTGCAGCTCTATCGCGTCGAACGAGCACGGCAGCGGGTCAAGCTGCGCAACGAGCATGATGACGGAGCAAACGTATACGTGGTAGACAAAGAAAGTGTGGAGGAGGCCGACGCCCAGTTGTCCCCATATTGAGCGCTGCATACAGTCTTGGTGCGATTTCCTCTGGGCCGATGATGTTCCTCGCAATCAGTACCCAGTTCTCGACCTGCGCTTTATAGCGCTTGAATATATTCGGATCCTCCATGTTCCCGTCGAACTTCGGAGGCGCTGGTAGGTTGCCGCGGGGCCTGGATCGAGGATCTTCGCGTCCCCTGCCGCCTCGTCCTCCTCTGGTCGAGAGCTCTTCATCTTCATCACCCTCGGCCTCTGATGCAGCAGCGCCGCGGCCGCCGATTGGCGGCGTCGTAGGAGGAGAACCCCTCCTCGACATGGCGGCTGTCCGTAGGAAAGCTGCTCTGCGCTACCAATTCGATGAAATATAACCCATAAACGTGTCAATTGAAGGAAAGCGGAGATGGTACCGGTTCACAAGGACCTTTGGGATGAGGCCTCGCGGGGCCTCGCACTTGTCCTGGGCTCGGTTGCACACGAGCGAATCTCTTCTCGCCGGAAGCTCAAGGGCCCTCCGAGGCCAAACAGCGACGGAGGGGAAAGGTGAGAGCGGACAAGCGGGAGCAGGGTAGGAGTGAGACGATAGAGAAGGGGATTAGGGCAACTAGACATGCATGAGTTATTGCACGGCGGACCATCCCAGCCGGTCCCGCAAGGACTTCCGGCGATGCAGCCGCACCTGCGCCTGCCGTCGCCAGCTGCGCACCAAGAGCAGCAGCAGGTGATGGTTCAACCGGCCCCTGGGCCTCCAGGTCGGCCAAGGGAAGCGACAGCTTCTGGCGAGCCGCATTGTAGGCCAGGTTGGGGCGGGTCTTGGTGACACCGCGGATGCCAACCGCCTGCGACGCCTCCGCCATGTCGGACTTGGCGGTGTTCGCGATGAGCGCGAAGTCCGTCAGCTCGGCTTCGCCAAGTGCTTCGGCAACCGAGGCCCATACGGGCTGTTCGACACCGGAGTGCTGCAGGAACTCACTCCTCTCCGTGATGGCCGAAAGCGCGGCGGGCTCAGGAAGGGCGAGGACTGGCATGGCTGCAAGCAACAGGCGGTGCGCGAGAGGAAGACGTGCCCCACCCGACTTGCACAAGACTCAAGCCAAAACGGCCACGGTGCTCATGCAGTCACCCACCCAACCCCCAATCGATCGACCAATCTTCAAATGACCCTTGGGTTACTGCCTAATCCACGCAGACACAGGGCGCTCTCAACACCGTGAAGACTGCGAGGATCGCTCGGGGCGTTTCCAAGGTAACCCCCAGCGCCGCCAGTACATCGATTCAACCTGGGAGGAGGAGGAGAGGGGCAAGGGGAGGGAGAAGAGGAGTTGATGAAGAGGACGAGGGGGATGAGGAGGGAGTGGAAAATGAGGCAGAGAATGAGGTGAGAAAAATATTGACTAACCGAAAGCAGAGAAGTCAGAGGAAGACGACAAACAAGATAGCATGGCGCGGCGAGACCAACAGCGGCACTAAACATACGAGACACCAGCACACACTGGAGAGGCGTTGGGTTACTCCTGGATGTTGTTATGAAGGGCACCTCAGACGCTTGTGTGGGTTCTCGAAGGTGCACAGGGCAGTTCTCGGTGGCAACTATGGGAGCCTCCCATACCATCTTGTCGGCTCTTGCGAATCGACGCTAGTCGACGCTAAATCGACTAGATCGACGCTAATCGACGCTAAATCGGCGCTATCTCATCGACTTCCAGACGCCAATCGACGCTAAAGACGGAATGAGGAGGGTACACCAGGCTCCAACGATTTGCTGCCGAACACAGGGGAGTTCCTGGAGGTTACGCAGGAGGAGAGCAGAAGCGCCGATCCATACAGAACCCCCTGTGAGTACACCGGAGATGCCAATGCATACACTCAACGTGCTACCGAAAAGAGGCGCAGACTGAATACGGAATGAAGGGGCCTTCCTGGCCACGGCGAGCTTGGGCCACGAATCTGTTCCCTGACCTAGATCTAAGAAACGGCCCGAAATTCGGAACCCCTCCTGAGCCCACATTGCTCCACTGTTCAGCGTGTTGACTGCATGGAGCAACATGGTGCCGAGAGCATGCACCAATCAACTCAGAGGTGTGCAAGAAACTGCGTTCAGAACGACCTGGCCATCTGCGCTCCTCGTCTATGATGTCCGCGTCCACAACCTAGAGTCAAGACAAGGCCACTGCGAGCACATGGAGATGAGGCACAGGGACTTTCCAACGAAGACAAGGGCCGAGCAATGGCTGGCACACCATGGCCATTCCAACGAAGGAATACATGCTGGTAGTGGGCACCTTGATCAGAAAGCGCGTGCCAAATGCAGAAATCTAACAATTAGTCCATCACTATACCCCAATATGGCGGCTTACTCGGGACCCCGTGAGCAGAGGAGGTCACGCTCTAGTGCCAGCGCCAGTGTCTAGAAGTGGCTGCCGTCCTCCTCCTCCTCCTCCTCCTCCTCCTCCTCCTCCTCCTCATTCCCCTACCGGGAAGGACCAGACAAGACATTCCCACTGGAGCTCCAAAAGTCGACCTCGCACAAACTCGTAAAGCTCTTGAAAGGACGAGGAAGAGAAGGAAGAGGACAACAAGAAGGATGATGAAATGAGAGAGGAGGAGGTGCAGAGGAAGACGAGACGGAGGAACCATAAGCACATTGTGGCATCAATCTTCGATCCCAAGAAATCCCCCAGTATGCAGCTCCTAAAACATAATCCTGGCACCTGCCTTTGTAAGTCCACGTGCCATTCTCGAGCACTGCTGGGCCACCGCCACATGGGGGTGGCCTGGCGAGGGACGAACAGACAACGCGGATGGCGAAGAAGGATGAGGACGGGGAGGACGAGGGCAAGGAGGGCAATAAAAACGGCGGAGGGCGGCGAAGACGAGGCCCTCGCTCCGCCCGCACCGATGTCCTCCCCTCCTACCCAACAACCAGCTCCACTCCCGTGTGCCCGCGCACCTTCTCGCTCCGACACCCCTGGTTGTTGGCAGAGGGGCGCTGCCCCGCAGTCTCGCTCAACTGCAGCCAGAGTCCCTTGCTGGATCCCCGTCCCTCGGTGCGAGAGCCATGGCGAGCATGCCAGCTGCTAAGAGGCCCTCCCGGCTTCCGACGAGCCTTCGGAGCAGTCTGCGAGCCCCTCGGACAAGACCCCTGCCCTCTGACAGGCCCCCCGGCTTCCAAGCAGGCCGCTCGCTCGCGCCGACCCCGTGCGCGAGCCACTGCAGTAATGAGGACGAGGGAGGAGAAGGACCAGGGGGCCCCGACGCAGCGACCTCTTCACAACGTGGGCCCCTGGAGATCCTAGGGCTCCCAACTTCGCGCTCTCGCGCTCCGCGAAGCGCGAATGACTTCGCGCTCTCGCACCGCCCCCCGAAAAGGAGAAAAGGAGGACGAGGAGGAGGGGGAGGAGGAACGAGGACCGCGAAGCGCGAATAACTTCGCGCCCTCGTGGGAGCCTTTGAGATCTGGACCATTTTCCCCAAGACTGGCCCTTCATCCTGAATTGTTTTTGAATGGCCCCAGGGCCTGGTTGCCCATATATTGGGTCTACGCCAACCCCCATGAAAAAGAAGAGGAGAGGGGAAGCCGATCGACACTCGAAATCCGCCGATCCGGCGTGTGAGTTTCTGGGAGCGTGGGCTTGAGCTCGCTCAAGCCTCGCTCTGCGGGGACCTCATTTCCGACCTAATTCCGACCTAATTCAGTGCTTCGCCCCCCCCCCTCCCCAGAGCGGAACCCCCATCCCCTGCAGAACGCCCCCTCCCCCTTCCTGCAGCCCAGCCCCCCCCTCCCCCCTGCAGAGCGGACCCCGCCCCTGCAGCCCCCCCCTCCCACTGCAGAGCGAACCCCCCCCTCTGCACCACCTCCCCCCTGCAGAGCAAACTCTCCCCCTGCAGAGCGGACCTCCTCCCTGCAGCCCCCCTCCCCCCCTGCAGAGCGGACCCCCCCCGCCTCCCCTGCACCCCCCCAAGAATCGAGGGGGAGGGGGAGCTCGAGCGAGGACGGGGGGGGGTCGAACGGAGGGGGGTCGAGCTCAAGCGGGGGGGGGGGGGTCAGCGCGGAGGGGGGGGGTCCAAGAATCGAGGGGGGGGGGGAGCTCGAGCGAGGACGGGGGGGGGGTCGAGCTCAAGCGGAGGGGGGGGGGGGTCCAAAGGAGACGCTCGAGCGGGGACGGAGGGGGGGTTCGAGCTCAAGCGGGGGGGAGGGGTCAGCGGGAGGGGGGGGTCCAAGAATCGAATCGAGGGGGGGGGAGCTCGAGCGAGGACGGGGGGGAGGAGTCGAACTCAAGCGGGGGAAGGGGGTCCAAGGAGGAAGCTCGAGCGGGGACGGAGGGGTAGGTCGAGCTCAAGCGGGGGGGGTTGGTCAGCGCGGGGGACTGGGTCCAAGAATCGAGGGGGGGGAGCTCGAGCGAGGACGGGGGGGGTCGAACTCAAGCGGGGGGAAGGGGGTCCAAGGAGGAAGCTCGAGCGGGACGGAGGGGGGGGGTCGAGCTCAAAGAGGGACGTCGTCGTCATCATCGTCCGTCGTTGACCCGGTCGTCGGTCGTCGTCGTCGTCGTCGTCATCGTCCGTTCCCACACGCATCGGGAGCGCCCCGGATCGGCGGCACTGGCCGGAGGCCATTACAATAAGAAGGCGCCTCAAGCAGATTAGCGTATGCGAGTACCCCAAAACACCTACTTTCATGAAAAGGCCCCTGCATACCAAAACTGGCGGACGACAGCTCGTTGTGATTCCTGCCGCTGCGCGAAGAAGTCTGGGGAAGAGGGGGCACGCGGAAGTGCGCCACCACCGCGTGCGCGCAGCGCCAAACAAAAGATGACGAGGATGGGGAAGAACAAGCTCCTCCTCCTCCTCCTCGTCCTCCTCCTCCTCCTCGTCCTCCTCCTCCTCCTCCTCCTCCTCCTTATCCTCCTCCTCCTCCTATTCCTCCTCCGCCTCCTCCTCTTCCTCTTCTTCCTCCTCCTCCTCCTCCTCCTCCTGCTTCTCGTTTGGTTTTTCTTCACTCACGGACATGTCGGGGTTAGGAGGGGCCCAGGGGGCTCCAAGTGATCCTCGGTAGGCCCGAAGCGAGTCTGAGTGATTTCTGCCCCACCCCTAGTGATTCTGGAGTGGTTTTCTCGGCTTCCTCGTCTTAGCAAGCAGTGCTGGTTACATCAGCAATTGTATGATGCCCTCTCTTTACGAAGGTCAGGTTAAATAATTGTTTGCGTGCGACGACAAACAACTGCGAAGGGGCCGATCGCCCACCTGCGAAGCCAACTGTGATATAACAAGGTTATGTTCATGCTTACGGCAACACACTTAATCCTCAGTGCACCCCTCTTGTCACGCAGTGTGCGCCCCCCCCCAAAAAAAAACTGACCTCCTGCGCGCGGGCACACCCCGACCAGTCTGCGATAAAACTTACCACGGCAGTGAAAGTGACAACGAGAAAAACCATTAAAGTGAGGTCGAACGCAATCCAACCGAAACGTCATGAGCGGCTCAAGTACATTCGATATCAGATCGGGTTTGGGGCAAGCTTGTGCAATGCCCCTTACACATGGAAGGAGGGGCCTGGGTATGTTTCAGAAACCACGGGAGGTTCTGGGCATCTTGGGATGCCTCCAGAGCGCACTTGAGGCCTTTTTGGGGCATTGGGGGGTCCCCGTCTAAACTATAGCATGGCCCTGGCGGGCCGTCACAGCTCGGTCGCCCACCAGCAGGCGGGCGACGTCGCTGCAGCGTTGGACCCCGAAGGGTTCGTCATCATCATTTGCATTGTCATCATCGTAATCGTGATCGTTATCGTCATCTTCACGCGTAAAGCCCCCACACAGGCCCCCTCGCGCAAGGACGGCCAAGACTGCTGAACTGGCAGGGTGACGGTGATTGCCGAAGGCAAGTGGATACGGTTCCACTCCACCAAACCCACTGTGCACTCCGACCCCCGAAGACCATTGAAACGTGAAGGAAGAACACATGGCAGTCCCCCACTTCGCACTGCGCCGACACGACATCGAAATTTCAGTCGGGAGGCCGTACGTTCCTCAAGAAGCCCAACCCCTTGGGAGTGATATGGTTGTCCGAGTGATGTGGCGCGGCACTGGATTTTATGCGCGCAACGAAGAGCGATCTACATGGCCGAGCCTCACACCCTGGACTTCTTGAGCTTCGGGGGCCACACGCCGACGCCACAGGCCACCAGCCGCAACTTGGAGGCCCTTCTCGGTTTCATTGCGAGGCTCTGCGCCGACAATGAAGATCTCGAGGCTTTCTCCGCGGCGTCGGGGTCTGGTGCAAGCCAGAGATCGGTGACGCGCTTCTTCGTGGCGTCGTTGTCATCGTTGTTGTCGTCGTTCTCGGCGTCGTCTGAGCCCTCGACGACACTTGCGATCGCCGAATGCAGCATTTTCGAAAACTTGCTCTCCTCGAGCTTGAAACGGGCGGGGAGCTCTGCGAGCTCCCCTGGGGTCGGCGTCGGGATGGCCGGCACCAGCGCCCGCGATGGCCGCCCGCCCCGCCGAGGACCCCGGAAGGGGGGCTCAGACATTGCCGGGCAACTTGGGCCCTGGCGGGTCGCTGGCAGGTCCTTCCCGCGCCTCAGTGTTCCTCTCCTCGTCCTCCTCCTCCTCCTCCTCCTCCTCGTCCTCCTCGTCCGCCTTCTCGTATTTTTCCGGTTCAGCTGAGGTAGAGATCCGCAGGGCTCAGGAGGCCACGGCCGCGCGCGCCCTGCCTGCCCACGCTGGCAGGTCCTTCCCGAAGCCCTTCCTTCCTCGCTCGACCTCCCGCCCCCCCCGCCCCCATCGCCGCCCTTCCGCCCGCGCCCCCCGCCCCCCGCCCGCCTGTGCACCCGGAATCCGGTCCGGACCCAAGTGTTGAAGATCTCCCAACAACGCCAGAAGAGTTCGAAAAGTCGACAAGTCGGAAAGTCAAAAAGTTCACAGGAATGACGGGGTGACCGAAAAGTAGAAAAGTAGAAAAGTCGATCAGTACAGTTGAAAGGCTGAAACATCTAAATTTGAAAAATCGAAAAGGACCTCCGTGGGCCTTCCAGGGCGTAAATTTTCGCCTGGTGTAGGGTACCTGGGAATTCTCGCATGGCGCAGAGCCTCCCAGGGCCTCCCCGGGCGGGAGTTTTCGCGTAGTGTAGAGGGCCTCCGCGGGCCGGAGGTTT